ACCAGAGCTTTAAGAGCTCTCCAGCTGTCACCTGGAGACTGGCAACAGCTTGTTTGGAGGGGGGGGAGTACGGCATTGTATCTGTCTGAGATCCCCCTCTTCCTCCTCCTCCTCAGACCCCACCCTCAGCAGGCTTCATCCCTAAAATATCCTGGAAGTTTCCAACCTGGAGTTGCCAACCCTATGTCCTTTCCAGGCAACCATCAGCCTACCGTTATCTGCCTGTCTGTCTTCAGGTTTACACCCCCCCCCCAGCCTCTGCCAAGGGAAAGGGCAGTCTTTCCCTGTAGTGGGAACCAAAGCAGCTGACATAATTTTCCTCTCCCCCATATGATCCGCACAACTACCCTAGGAGGTATGTTAAGGTTGAAAGTGTGTGAATGGTCCATAATCCCCCAAGCAGCTTTTAAAACATGAACCTGGGACCTGCACACCATCCTCTGAAGCGCTCTCTGTGGCAGTAATGGGGTGACTGCTGGCACCTTTTCCTATCATTTTTTGCCTTGTGGTATTCTGCTAGTGGTGTGATCTGTCTTCTTTGTGATGTGGCATGATTGTGTTATTGGGTTTGTTTCTTTTGAAGGGGAAGTGATGTGTTGTGAGTGAGGACATATTTTACCTCAGAATGCAGTAGGTTCCATATGCAACTGAAAATTCCAACTGCCTTGTGGGGGGGGGGGGGTTTGAGGTGTGGAATGGAGTGAAGTCCAATCAGCTTCCATATGCAAAAGACCTTGAAACACTGGGCAGGACTGCACAACGCAGCCAGTCAACCCAGCCAGCGTCTTCTGACTGAAAGTTCTTGCAGCCAAACACTAAAGGTGTGCATTTGGAACGTTGGAGCCCACTACGGCTTTATATATAAGGGAGAGATGGCCAAGGAGGTCAGGAAAGTTCCCATATTACCATCATTTCATAGAATATCTAAAATGGAACTGTGCAGGAGGACTCTTTTCAAAAAGGGGATAGGGTCAGATTTTGTGAAAGTTTAGTTAGCTTTCACTGATTCGTTCAATGTATTTATTATACTATTACACTTGCTCTCTAATTTTATAATCCAGTTTTGTGTTACTGTTGTAAAATAAAACATTACTGTTTGATGGAGCGTATTATACTTTTGTGGGTGTGTGCTGTTTTCTATCTTTTATTACAATGGTTTCATCATCTGAAAATATAGTTAATGATTTTCCTATTAAAAAAGGTTCTTTTGAATCTTGGTATATAGAGAATGCAAAAACTAGAGTTTGGCTTGGATCCAGGGAAGTGTTTCCTTGGGCACAAGGACTGCAGCAGCCTGAAATGCCCTTCTCAATCCTGTTCCTAGGAAACAGGAGTTCCCCCAGACACAAGATTTCAGGGGACATTTCAGGCTGCCATGGAAGCAGGCAGGCAGGAAAATCATGCTCTACAGGCAGACGTCCTTGCACCCACAAAAATGTCAGTCTGAATGCAAGCCTCTGGATGTTTGGGAAGTTTTCAAAAGCTAGCCTAAAGGTCTGTCAAAGCTCATGCAAGTTGTAGTGAAGCATGGTTTGCTTTCACATGGTGCAGAGAACTCTGGACTGGAAAACTAAACCAGATTCACGCGACTATGGGCTGCAAGTCTTTTCCATTTTGCTTACTTGAACAGGATTAAAGATGTTACCTTCGTATCCTCTTTCATTCCCAAAGATAGCTGCAGAACATCAGAAACCCCCCACATAGCTCATCCCCTCTCCTTCTTCAATTTCAGCCCTTAAACAGTTTCCTCACTTTGTACACTTCTCATACTCCATTCTCTTCTCGTCCATTTTCCAGTCTGAAAATATGCGGCAAGGGGAAATAACTCTGAATCCTCTTTGCTTTTGTTCCTGGAACATGATTCTCATATCACCTTTGTAAAGAACTACGACAGACGATATGCAATTGCTCAGCCTCACCCCAAGCACATTTTGATTGGCATTAAATGGTTCTGTTAAGTAACTCCCTAATAAAGAGAGATGTCAGAAATGTCCAGTTATAATAGCAAGTAGTTTTTGATCTTTAGTTGTTGTAGATTTTCTGGGGTGTATGGTCATGGTCTTCTTGACACTGCAGTACTTAACGTTTTGCCAGCAACTGTGACTGGCATCCTCAGAGGTATAACACAGAAAGATGGAGTACTCTCTGTGTCAATGTAAGAAGAAAAATTGTAGGCAGGTAATTTATATCTACTGAGGAAGATGGGGTAGGGCTGAGTCATTATCTTGTAGGAGTTTCCCAGGCTGTGACATGCTAATGGAGGAGCTTTCCTGAGGAGGTTCTTTTGAATGTGGATTGGCTATTGAAATTCTAATCTTATCTGTAGTGCTACTGTAAATGACAGAAGAGACCCCCTCACTTCTGCAGGAGTATACCACATACCCTGCAGTTGTGGACAGGTTTACATCAGGACCACACATCATAGCATCCAGACAAGAATAAAAGAACATGAAAGACAATGCAGACTTGGCCAACCTGAAAAATCAGCAGTGGCTGATCATAGCCTAACTCAAACAGGGCACAGTATCTTATTCCAAGACACTGAAAAGCTGGACAACACATCCAATTACCATGTCAGATTACACAGGGAAGCCATTGAAATTCATAAACACAAACACAATTTCAACAGGAAATAAGAGAGTTTTTAAAAAAATAAGGCATGGTTTCCTGTCCTGAAAAACACAAAATGTTCTACATCTTACAACAGCACTAAAGACCACAGCCATGCAGCCTGGAAAATCTACAACAACTAGTGAACTCTGGCCGTGAAAGCCTTCGACAACATATAGTTTTTGATCTCACTGAGAGTAACTCTCCTTTATTTATTTTATGCCACCTTTCCTCCCAGGAGCTCAGGGTGGAAAACACTATTCTCTTCTCCTCAAAGGTCATTTCGGGGGGGAACGCGGGGGAACGCAGTTCCCCGGGTGAGGTGCTGGGGGGCGGGGCACACGACGAAGCCCCGCCCCCTGCTTCCGGCCGCCCCGCTTCCAGCCCTCATTCAGCCAGGAGGAGGCAGGAGAAGAGGGAGGGTAAGTTGCTTCCTCCCTGCCTCTCCCCACCCCTGCCTGCCTGGGGCCAGGGAGGGCCTTGGTGGGGCTGCCTCGCACTCCCGCTGGCCTTGCAGGTCCACCGCCGGGCCCCTGATGTCAGGGGGTGTGGCATATGCTAATGAGTTATGCTAATGAGTTCCCCTAGCTCTTTTTCTATGAAATGACCCCTGCTTCTCCTGCATTTAGTCCTCACAACAAACCCATGAGGTGGATCAGACTGAGAGAGAATGACTGGTGCAGGGTCACCCAGAAAGCTTTGGGGCACAGCAGGAGCCTGAGTCCCCCTGATCCTAGTCCAACACTCTGGCCACTACCCCACACTGTCTCTCTTTTCTAATACCCACTACTTGCTATTTTTTGCTAATCTGGGGATATAAGGATTGAAGAGGCGAGGCAAAGCATGTGTTCTACTAGTATTGCGCCAAAGTGACTTCTAGGATGGCCAACTCTAGCTTGGGAAATCCTTGGAGATCTGGGAGTGGTGCCTGGGGAGGATGGAATTTGGGGAGTGGAGGGAGCTCAGCAAGGATATGATGCCATAGAGACCATGCTCCAAAGATGCTGTTTCCTCCCGGGAAACTGATCTGTGTAGTCTGCAGAGAAGTTGTAATTCCAGGACGACTCCAGGCACCACCTGGAGGTTGGCAACCATACCCATTATAGAAACAGCCACCTTTTGTGAAGCACATGGATTGCCTGCATTTTACTAAGCCGAGGAGTGTTGTTACTGCCAGTGGAAGAGTCCCCTGCTTCGGAGGGATGCATTTCCATTAGCTAAGTGGAGCAGCAGGCAGCAATCCAAAATGTTTATATGTTAAACTAAAATGACAAGCTATCAGGGCTCCAAACACAAAAATCCTCTGTCAGCCTACCATATTCTTATCTCACCTTTCCTCCAAATAGCTCAGGGCAGTATACACAGTTTCCCCTTTCTTTTATTTTTTTAAATCCCTCACAACAATCCCAGTCCAGCACACTAACTACTACACCACATTGACTCTCTTAATCAGCATTAGCCTCTTTTGATACAGACACTTTTCAACTTGAAATGGAATTTTCAGTGCTAGAAAACCGGATCATAATCTCTCTCGCTCTCGCATTAATGGGTTCATTTTTATGATATGCTACAGACAGCATCTGTCTCATATCTTGTTTACCACTGCAGGAAGTCCTATTCGAGACACAGGAGCAAGCGAAAATCAGGACATACGATCCTCTTAGCACCAGATATAGGAATTGTTTCTTCACCTGCTAAACAATGTTTCTTAAACTAGTTTTTATTATTTGTAGAATTTTTCTGTCCACAAACCTGTTGTCTCTTGGGTGACTGTCAGATTTATCAGAGAGGCAGCTTTCTTTGCTGAGGTGCCCTTGTTTTGAGTCTGTATGTGTTTTAAACAGCACTTGTGTGATCACACCCTATACATAGTAATTTCTGCCCCAGGTGACAATGTTAAAAGTATTCTCTACCACCACCACCCAAACCCCACGCTGCTCAGTGCTGTACTATTTTAATATTTATAAGATGTTTTTTCCAATTACCCAAGTAAGGTGCATTATGCAGTATATTATGTATTAAGTTGTATTTCCCTGGGGTAGAAATCAGAGTTGATGAGTAAAAATAAGTCTCATTGGTTAACACAAATATCACATTTGAATCCAACCCAAAAAGCGAAATTCAATTTTAACTTAGCAAAGCCTTTCATTGGCTCCTATATATTTTAAACAATCTCACTTTCCCCACTAATTACCCTTCTGTTGGATTTATAATGCACCATCTCCAAGTACATATATAAATTGTTATTTAATTATAGATAGTGTAACATGTTTGGGAGTGAGGAGGAAATATGTACCTGGAAAAAGGTAGAGTCAGAGGGTGCTCTACTAAAGACCCACCTGTATGTATTTGTGCATGTACCAGGAAGCTTGCTTTCCATCATTCACTGATTCGACTGTAGTGCTGGCCATGCCGACAATGTCACCCCCTGCAAAAACCCATGGCTCGCTTGTTTGCATGCTCTCTAGATCAACTTCTGGAAGACCCCACTTGTTAAATTTGATAGGACTCAGAGCTTCTTTTACTGTATTGAAAGAAACACAAGAAGAAAACATAATATATGAAACAGCAGTTAAAACTGTGCATATCTTGTGTCAGGTGGCTGAGTCACAATTTAACTTCAAAACCATGATTACTATAGAACTTAAACACAACAATTGTTGTATTATGCAACAAAACAGACTACATCCAGGACAAATCTCCTTCCGCCTACTTTCTGTCCTGTCAGACTACGTCTTCTAGCGAGGAGTGCTTCCATTTTATTTATAGCCACTAATATATACCACAGAATATTATCAGACTTGCAGACTTGAACCATAAATTCTAGGATATAAGACTGGAACCTAACCAACAGAGCTGTTAGGAGCTGTGTTCATTCAGGTCTCACTCAAGCACTCAGAAGTATAAGGAAATAGAAATATATAACAACACTGATTCCTGTGATTGGCAAGCAGTATGAAGTCTCTAGATAGTCTGAACCTGCTCATTGCAGGAAATCCAAGGCTAGAGTGTTCCTGACAGATAGTTGTCAAGTCTCTGCTTGGACCTCCATGACTGAAAGCCATGGAGTAACTGGGGTAACTGGTTCTATTGTTGACTTGTTATTGTCTTCTAACATCCAGCTAAATTCAGCCCTCCTGTCATTTAAGCCCATTACATCTAGCCTCTGCTCATATGTCAGAACCCTTCATATATAAGACTGGTATCAGGTTCCCCCTCAGTTTTCTCTCGTTGAGGTCAAACACAATCAGCTACTTCATCCTTCCCTTGAAATACTTGTTTCCAGACCCCAATCATCTATGTTGCCCTTCTCTGAACCTATTTTGATTTGTCTACATAATTCCTGAAGTCTGGCATCCAGAACCACACACAGTACTCAATGAGGTCTGAGTAAAATGGAATAGAGTGGAATTATAACTTCTTGTGTCTTGGATACTATGCATGGGGGGTGTCTTAAAATCTTTCCATCATCCTCAAACTCTTTTAACTGTTCTTTGGTGCTACTGCAAGTTCCAGTCTCTATCCCAACTTGATCTTTTCACTTCCCTCAGAGTCAAAGCTATTGTGGAAGACACAGCATACAAACTTTTAAAGCAAGCAAATACCTTGAATGCTGAAACAACAGCACATCTGGCATTAGATATGTTGCCATTTCAGGATTCCAGACAACTCTGAGAAAGGGAGGCTTTGCAGAGGGATCTTCTTCAAGGCCTGCCAACGGCTGCTACTGCAGTTTCTAGATATGAGTGAAACAGGGCTCAGAGGGCCTGAGCAAGGTTGAAGGGATACATTTAGTCATCAGACGACCACCTATGATTTCACTAGCAGCAAAGTCCAAAGTTTAGAATTGGACTGGGGCACGGAAGGTATGAATTATGTTCCAGTGCTTCTGGACAATAATTCATTTTAATCAAGACCATTCTGAATTCAGCTAAGTGGACTTCACCCATCACTTCTTTCAGCACTCAGGGTCCAGTTTCAATACCCTTCTGCTCCCAGCTGAAGTGTGGGTCCATACTGGCGGGGCCTGGCCAACTATTACAATTCAAGGATTAGTTCCATAGTAAGTGAGAGATTGGGAGCATTGTAAGTCATTGTAACAACTGTAGAAAGGTGCACCATAAGAATAATACTATTTGTGGTGAGGCTGCCTATTGTAACTACATTTAGCCACAAGAACAGTCCATTATCTGAAGCAGTTTATACAAAATGAAGTATGGAATAATCTGGAGTCTTCATCTTGTCCTCATTGGTCTAAATACATCAGGACCAAAGACCGTGATCTCTCGGACTGGATTTTTGGATCTTGATTGCTACACAATTGAGTTGTGATACTTTGATTTGTATGTAGTCCTCTGTTATATGTTTAAATAGATTCCTTGATGTAATATGAATATTGCAGAGTAATTTTCTTACTGGATAATAGCATTGTTTGTATTGAAAATAGGTATTGTATGTTGTGATTACCTTTCAGAAAGACAATTTATTATAATACACTTTACTGTTTAGCATCACTTTGGCATGATATTACATTTCTTGTGGTTACCCAAATTGCAGGCACCATTCATTCATTCATTCATTCATTGATTTCCTGCTTTTCTCCTCAGTGGGGACCCAAAACAGCTCATGTCACTCTCCCCTTCTCCATTTTATCTTCACAACATCCAATATGTGAGGTAGGTTAGACAAAGAGAGAGTGATGGGCCCAAGGTCACCAGTGAGCTCTCCCAGATCCCAGTCCAACAATCTAACCTCTGTACTATTCAACAGGAAACACACTTGTTTTCCCAAACTGAGTTACACAAAAATATAATTTCTTCACTACGTGAGATCTTGCCTGTTCTCTGAGCTAAGCTTTCTATATGAATAATGGACAATTCTCTTTGAGGCATCATGTGGCTTCTGGCTCTCATACAAAGCAGATAAGGAAAAAAACCTGTGGCTGGACTGTATTGTGAAACTGGACATAGAACACAAGTTCTGATCAATTGTTCTCTATGCCAAATGTATTCTTCATCAGATCTATGTGCAGGAGCATGAGACTTTGGGGTCGCAGGAAACCCCCCCCCCCCCCAAATAGCCCACTGTTACCGTCCTCATGATGGTAGCACATGTTGATTTTGGGATTGAGGACTTTCTGCCCATGCAACCCTTCCCCATCACAACACCAAGCACACCTGTGAAAGAAGCTGAAGCAATGTTTATTTACTGGCCTGCCAGTGCTTGGCACTAATTATGGCTAACTACCCTGTATGTGATGCGGTGGCTCAAGCTGCGGTGGCTCAAGTGGTTAAGACGCTGAACTGCAGGCTGTGAAAGGTCAGTAGTTCAGCAGTTTGAGACCCGGGTGCCGCATGATGGAGTGAGCTCCCATCTCTAGTTCCAGCTCCTGCCAACCTAGCAGTTCGAAAGCAAGAAATTGCAAGTAGATAAATAGGGACCACTTCGGTGGGAAGGTAACAGCGTTCCGTGCGCCTTGGTGTTTAGTCATGCCGGCCACATGACCACGAAAAACGTCTTCAGACAGCGCTGGCTCTTCGGCTTTGAGACAGAGATGAGCACCGCAACCCTAGAGTCGGACTCGACTGGCTTTCGAGCAAGGGAACCTTTACCTTTACCTTTACCCTGTATGTATGAAATGGTGCTCCTGAGGTACCCTCTCCACTGCCTTGGTAAGCCAATTATAACCCTTTTCACCCTTAATAACAAGGAGGACACCATGGATACAAACAGAAAAAGGGTTTATTTACAGTGGGGAGGGGAAGCAAACTAGGGACATTTAGGGCAAACTTTATAACACTAATGTGTGTGTCTGTGTGTGTCTGTCTGTGTGTATGATTGAAAGATAGAGAGACTTAACCAGGGAACTGCCGTGTCCCCCTGTTTTGTTTTCCTTCAGATGACCACAACGGCCTTTGAAAATACAGACCTCTGCTTGCCCCCGATAGCTTTCCAATCACCCAGAAAGACTACATATGAAATCCACACCCGTGTGTGCCACTCCAGGCCACCACATTAAACAGTGCACTTTCACCTCAAGTGACTGGAAACAAAGCCATGTCAGAATGAAGAAATGGGTTCATTATCCTATCTATCCATATGAACGGTTTATGGGTGTGAAGTAAGTTGATCCTGCCTTGCCTTTATAACAGTTTGGTGACTAATGTACAGAAAAACAACAACCCTGTTTTAAAATAATATAAAGAATGCAGTGCAGTGGGGTTAGGCAAAGAAGATCCAGGTTTAGATCCTTACTCAGCCGTGAAGCACCTGTGAGGTAGGTTAGGCTGCTAAAAAGTGACTCCTGGATGAGAAAGTGACTCATCCAGTGACTTTCTCTATACCCAATCTAGCTCACAAGATTGTTGAGGCTATAATGGAATTGGTAGACCACATATACCACCCAGGATGCACTGGAGGAACAGTGGGATAAAAATGTAGTCAGGCATTCAAAGTTATGGGAGATCTATCTACCATATGTATGAATCACAAAACAATGAGACACAAATATAAATATTGCAGCAACACTTCTGAAAAAGGATATTCTTTCACCTTATGACAAAAAAGTCTTAAAACAATGTTATTTACCTCTGTTACAGATTATAAATTCAGAATAATGTGTCATTAGAAAGAGCCAAGAACCTTACTATATCTTCAAAGTACAGTATATTTTGTTGAAAGTATTATTTTAGCTGCTCTTGATACCATGCATCAAAATAAATAGCTTTTACACAGTGATTACTATATTGCGGCACTTAGGTTTCTTCTTTCCTCTAAAAGAAAGGGAGGGGAGAATTCAGCATCCCTTGGGGACATACCAAACGCAGATGCAGATTGCTAAGGTCAATTAAACTGATGTAGCTGTGCTGTCATATATGTAAAAGAGAAACCTGCTAGCATATGACAAGATTATTTCTCAGTTGTCATCGAACGGTGTCAAAGATGTGTTCTGTTTTTACAAGAGATGAGCCCGGGTGGCTGTGTTTTGTCTGGGGAAACCCTCTGTAAAGTCAAAACCATAATTATAGGAAGGAACTGCATTTCATAATTTCCCATTTTGTGTTTCCACATCAATGAGTTAAATAATAGGATGGAGGAAGAGAACAGGGTGGGGGCAGAGGCACAGTGAAGAGGCAAGTGAGGTCAGGGACTTCCAGAAAGGCTTTCCTGACATAAAGGGCTTTCAAGAGAGGCACAAAAGAGGAAATGAAGCTGCTCAGGATGTAATATTGAGCCTCTGGTACAAATATTTCTTGGGACTTTCGATCAAGTACTATGCAGGTACACGACCAAGATATATATATATATTTAAATGAGGCTTTTCTGCAAAAGATCATGCTGCTGAAGAGGTAAGCCAGTTTCAGTGTTGTCAGCAGATAGCCTCTTCAGCTCGGAACTTCTAGAGAGAAAAAGCCAAGGCACTCATCAATGACATGAGCAGTTTCTTTGCCCAAATGTGTGCATATATAATTTGTGCATCACAGCCATTGGCATGACTGATAACATTGGCAAAGGACTTCAACC